CGACTTGGGCTTGCATTTGACGACGGTGGCGATCGTGGCGCCGCTAGCCACCTGCGGCCCATCTGTTGAGGGGAAACAAGGATACCGGATGCCGCGCTTCGCCGATAAGTCTGGTAAATCTCGGGGTTCAGGACCACTACGTCCTCGATTCGGCCGAGACGAAAAATCCAACCTGGAAAATCCAGTATAAGGTCTCGGGGATTCGAACCCCTAACAATCGTGGAAGACCAACAATGTCACAACCGTTCAGCCATGAACCCACGATTCAACTTCATTGCATTGGAATCACCGAACACCTCACCTCTGGTGGGCGAGTCATTGAGTCTTCAGACTCCCGCCAACCACCGGGTCTGGCGAACCTTGCGCCGCATCTGATTGCCGCAAGCTGTTGTAGACACCGTGGTGATTCGAGCCTCACCCTGTTGCGACATGAATACCTGCCAGCTGACGTCGGACAAGCCGGTGTACGAGCGCCCGCGAAAGCGATTGCCAGGCACACTGGCACAGTAACCATACTAGTGTTGGTGATGGGATTCAAACCAGCCAGGGGAGCTTACAATCAATAGCCAAGATGATGTTGTGTAAACAATTGTTCGGAAACCTGGGTCTTTGTGGGACTGACTACAGAAGCTCTACGTTGGCTACCCTAGCTGCAACGAGGTGAATTCTACATGCGCCGGCTGCCATTCGCGCTGCTGAGTTCATAAGACCGTCCCATTTCCGTACATGATCTCACAGCCAGAAATCGCTATGCCCACAGCAGTGGCAAACTTTGCCGGTTTCACATCCCAGCCCTTAAGCGAATCCTGCGCGCTCCAGAGGCCAAACGTGCCGGTGAATTTAGCGCGCTATCCCAGTCTCCTAGCCCCGACCAACTCATCACCTTCTCCTCTGCAACTCGCAGATGAATGTCTTCTAGGACGGGGCATAGATGACGGCCACCCCGCCCTGGGACATTGAGACTTAACGCAAGCGCATGTAGATGCTCCGCAGTAAAGCATCCCTCCATGTTCTGCTTGAAGTTCACGTCCGGAGGTAGCGCAGGAGAATCAAAGTGTAGTGCCCGAAGAGCGGTGAATCGCTCTAGGATATGCAGATATCCCAGAGAACGATCGGGCAACCAGCTGTCCTTGGCAAGCACAAGCTCTTGCAGGCCCATCGTCGATGGCCGCATGACGGCAAGCGCATATCGTAGGGTGTCGTACAACGCCTTCGGATACTGACTGTTGAAGTCGCGCGCACGGTCATGCGCAGAGAACTGCCCGTCTCTGAATGTAAGGGAACGCCGGGCGGCTACCTTGCCATCTAGCTCCCGACTCCTTTCCCAGTTCCGCCCCACCGGGTCTTGCAAGACCGGTCTGAGCTCATCCACTGACTCGGCCATAGTGAGGCTCACCAGCTCCGGGAACTTTGCCGCCACCGGCTCGTGGATCGTTATAGAAGGGTTGATGCGCACGTCCAGGCCCATCACCTCCGTCGAGCGTTGCCAAAGCGCTGTAGCGGGATCGCCAGCGTCGAACGAGTAGGATTCGTTTGTTGGGCTATGGATGGTCGAGGTCTTGTGCGGCTGCGCCAGACTTCTGGCAAAGTCCCTCGGCCATCTGTGCTCGGCGTTGAAGAGGCCCACTGGGGCATGCTTCGATGGCCAGAACGGGACTTCGAATATTCCGGGGTGCTTATCGGTAAAACACCCTCTCCAGGAGTCGACAGGCTCGAGATGTAAGTCGAGTGCGTAGGGCAGAACCATCCAACGTAAAAGGATGGCGCCGAAAGTGGGGTGCGTGCAAAGCCTGAAGTAGCGAAGCCTTGGGAATGTCAGGTTGCCCTGAATTTCCGCGACGGAGCCCGCGGCAACGTCAATCGTCAAGAATACGATTGTTTCAGCACAGGCTGAAAGAGCGGTTGATAGAGACGTCCCAAAGACCACGTCGGCATCAGGGCCTTGTTGGAGGTGGAGGGAAGTCAGCACCTTTGAGTAGTGGAACGTATTGCCGCCGTCATTGAGGCTAGTCAGGAGCCCGAAGCGCTCAATTGCCGTCATACGTCGGCGTAAGCCGTCCGGAACGTGGAGAGGGTCTGCGTCGAGAGCCGCAACGTCAATGTGACGGAGACTGCTGTCTGCACCTCCCCTGGTGTCGCGGACGAATTGCTGCAGCTCGGACGCCAGCGTTCCATCGCCAGACCAGGGCAGCCTGAGCTTGACCCGCTCGAGGCTAGAGTAGAATGACCGGAGGCCGCGGAAGACGCAAGTGCACACGTCCACCGCTATGAGAGAGCGAGCTCCGTATTCGATAGTCGTCCGTCCATTGGAGATTGTACGGCGTTCACCAGAGCGCCGCGCAATTGCCGGGTACAAGGTGTTATCCAATGCCCAGATAGCGGAGTTCTCCTCAAGAAGTATGTTGCGTAGCCTCTGCGAGACCTGCGATACGCTGTGCGCGGGAGAGCGCAGGTGAAGTGGTGGACCGGAGACTTTTATGCAACTCGGGCGCGTGAGATCCCAACGTACCCCGTTGCAGCATGGGAGTACCGCAGACGGTGCAGACGGAGGTTGAGTTACAGCATAGCGTTTTACCTCAGCGTACGGCGCTTGCGCGGAAAAATGCTCGTTATGCCAGGCAGTCTGGGCTAACAAGATGATGCTCCCTACTAGCTCAGCAGGCAAGTCGGTAAACGTGAGCGCAGCCGGGGCAGGTCCAGACATCCGAGATGAGTGGAGAGATCAAGATGAAGCAGAGCACGACATTTTTCATATCAAGGTTTAACTGATGGGTTCACATGATGGGGAGGCGGATATCGCCGGCATGGATTTGCTGTGGGCTGCCCTTCGACGTGGGCAGAAATCAATTTGCCGAGTTCTACTGGTTCCACTGGCAATCGTTCTCGATGCCGGTAAATCACAAAAACTCCATTTTGGCGATCAGTTGTCAACGAACGCTCATCGGCGCTCATCAGCAGGCGGGCGGGGTAGCCGACGGTCCACGCCCATCTAAGATTGACCAAATGGATAATTCGTTGCCTATGCAGTATGCTACAAACACCACTGCGAGTCCACGGGTATGCAAGCGAAGATATGTACGAGGCACGATGGCACAAATACGTAGAACAAGCTACACCGCACCACAAGACCTCCTTCCACTCGACGACGGCTCATACATTCTAATCGTGTACTGATGGTGTCGGTGCCGGCGTGCGCGGGCTGTGATGAGCGCTTAGCCCGTGAAGCGCGGTGTGCGAGCTGCAAAAGAGAGGGTGGATATTGAGGCGAGCGCGCCGCGGCGGCACGCGGCTGGTCGGGGCGGAAGAGTAGCGCCGATGTTGCGGCTGGCACGAGGAGTGACGATAGGCCAGACATAGCGTCCGGGAAAGGGATTTGACGAGCAGGGTGCCATGATGGTGGAAGGCTAGAGCGACTTGATGGTTGAAGCAAGCGCGCGGGTCCCTTATTCACCGCGCATGAACTTGCTTCGCACGGCCACCCGACTCGCTCTGGCTCGCTGCTTCACCATCTTTCACGTCTCACCTACGCAATACAACCAAAGTTTGTGTATGGTCAGATGCTTCGGCCCCAGCGAAGAAGGCAGAATCGGGTTGGTTAGCCGTCTGCGCCCGCTGAGCCTGTCGCGTCGCGTCGCCGGAAGTTGCCGAGTGTGACCTCGGCCCGCACGGTCTCCTCATTGTTCTACCTCGTAGTGGTCAACCTCATTACGTGTGGCTGGCGTGCCATTGAAGCTTCGTACACCTACTTTAGCCATGCGATTGTGGTATTCTGAGGCGATCCAGCAATGCGTTCGTTGGGCACTTCATTCGTCACTAATGCCTCCCGGACCTTGCGGCAGTGCTTCGGTCGAATATGCCGACTTGGGCCTGCTTCGGCGAGTGTGGCGCCGTTACTCACCTGCNCTACGCGGGCGCGCGCCTGGCGAAGATGGCGAGCATGGCGGCATCACCCACCCTGCCGATTCAGCCGACTTGGGCTTGCATTTGACGACGGCGGCGATCGTGGCGCCGCTAGCCACCTGCGGCCCATCCGTCGAATATGCCGACTTGGGCCTACATACGGCGAAGGTGGCGCCGTTACTCACCTGCTGGCTCATCTTATGGACCGATCTACGCGGGCGCGCGTGGTCAATGCACGTCGTCTGTGATCCTAAACTGCATGTCCCGCAACTCCTTCGTCTTGACTTCGAACTGTCGCTTGGTCGAGCATCTTGTGGGTTCAGCATGTCTTCCAAGCAGCAAATGATGCCACGATTGCCGCCACGGGCAATGTACTTGGTCTGGGACTCGTTCGAGAACGACATCGACTTCGTCTTGAGCCCTGTGAACGGATAGGAGGGACCTCAGTAACAACACGTGTTCAATCCCGTTGTCCAAGCCGGCCCGCTGAAAGATAAGGATGCTCAATCTACTCGCCTCAGTTTTGTGACTGAGGGAAGGAACAGTATCCACTTCTGCGTATCGAATGGTCGTCAATCGGAGGTGCGCCATATGCGTCCTTCGCATGAGCGCTTCGGAGAGATGATCTCCATAGGCCGGCGATACCATCATAATCATCGCCGCTGGCGGTATCGTATACTTATCTGGGCGCTTACAGCTGCGAGTTGTCTAAGCCTGCCAAGGCTGTTGGAATGACTGCGCCTGTTTGTGAGCGGCGACATGCCCCCGGATCACTGAAAGATAGCTGAAGTGGCGCGCTGGTCTCGCCGAACGATCAGTCACCGTCAGACACATTGCTCACACCGACGTTCAGGGTGCGTGGACCCTATCACTGCTGTCTTGGCTGCATAGCTTTCCGAGTCTCACTCTGCCTGCCCAGTGAAGCTGCTGAATTTGCCCTTGGAGCAACATGCCGCGTTGATGCCAAAGCGAACTAGTTCGACAAGGCTGCAAAGAAACCCAACACAAGATCTGGCGACGCAGCTTTCAACTTCAGTCGCAAACACCTAGCCATCGATGCCTCAGTAGGCAGTCGCAACGGAGCCATCAAGTTTAGCGAGTCAATGACGCCGCTACCTTGATCAGAGCCATGGCCGTACATGGTTGATCTCTACCATCTGGCGGGTCTGAGATGCGCTCGTTCTGCGACTTCGGCGTTGAAGCCATAATCAATGCGATCAGAGCCCAACGCGAAGCATGTTCCTCGTGCGACGAGATCAATGTGAGTAGTGCAACTATCCACTTGACGTCTAGGTTGGCTGCGCTCGTACTTCACTCAGCTATCATTACTTCCTTGTTGGTGGTTACTATGCAGCTTTTACGATCGCCTCAAGAATTTCGTAGATCATGAAGATGGGCTGAGGTATCGCCCTTGGTTGTCTGCGTATGTCGATCGACCCTTAAACTTTGTGATGAGTATCTGAACCTGATTTCTCATCCCTGGTCCCATTCCTGGTCCCATTTGGGATCAGGTTTTCAAGCTTAACGAGATTTTTGAGCGCGGGAGAGCAGTCATGTGATCACGTTCGGTTTGGATCTCGTTTTGATGGCTTCAATTGGCCGATACCTCCATCTGTCTTCCTCGTTGTGCGGTTATGTACCGGCTGCTCTACCCGTG